GCAGCCACTGCACTCCAGACTGGGCAACAGAGTGAGACTCCAACTAAAAAAAAAAAACCAAAAACCAAAAATATATCCAGGATATATTGCTCTCAAGAGCAAAACAGGTTATAAAACAAAGTGTATAAGGTGATTACATTTCAGTTTTAAAAAACACTCATTCAAGACTGGGCGGAGTAGCTCACGGCTGTAATCCTAGCACTTTGGAAGGCTGAAGCAGGAGGATCGCTTGAGGTGAGGAGGTTGGAGATCAGCCTGGGCAACATTAGTGAGACCTTGACCCTACAAAAAACTAAAAAATTAGCTGGGTGTGGTGGTACACACCTGTAGTTCCAGCTATTGGAGAGGCTGAGACAGGAAGATAGCTTGAGCCCAGGAGGTCAAGGATACAGTGAACCAGGGCTGTGCCACTGCATCCTAGCCTGGGTGATAAGAATGAAACCCTGTCTCCAAACAAAACAGAAACCTATTCATATTTACTGAGGCCAGCATGTACTGAACACTTATTATTCCAGGCACGGTTTCATGCGCTTAACATGTATCAATGTGTTCAATTCTCAGAATAGCCCTACGAAGTGGGTCCTAATGTTACCCCCATTTTGCAGGTGAAGAAGCAGGTACAAGCAGGCTAGGTCCTTGTCCAAGTTTGCCAGCGACTGGGAGAGCCAGAATTTGTTCCCCAGCAGACTGGCTCCAAAAAGCGGGAGAGCAGCTTGTCAATGGCAGTTGTATCCTAGGAGGTAAGGTTAGACGAGATTTCTTTTCTTTTCTTTTCTTTTTTTGAGTCGGAGTCTCCCTCTGTTGCCCAGGCTGAAGTGCAGTGCTTCACTCACGGCCACCAAAGCCAACCTGACGGGCTCAGGTGATCCTTCCGCCTCAGCCTTCCAAGAAGCTGGAACCACAAGCACACACCACCACACCTGGTTAATTTTTTATTTATTGTAGAGACAAGGTCTCACCAAGTTCCAGGCTGGTCTCAAACCCCTGGGATAAGGCAATCCTCTCACCTCCACCTCCCCAAGTGCTAGGATTTATAGGTGCGAGCCACTGCGCCTGGCAGGAATTTGTTTATTTTCATTAGATATTTTTGTAAGCCTTGACTTTCTTTTTTTTTTGAGTCGGAGTCTCACTGCATCGCCCAGGCTGAAGTTCCCGGCCACCTCAGCATCAACCTGCTGGGCTCTGGCGATCCTTCCGCCTCAGCCTTCCAAGTAGCCGGAACTACAGATGTGTGCTACCATACCCAGCTAATTTTTTGATTTATTGTAGAGATATCTCGCCAATTGCTCAGGCTGGTCTTGAACCCGTGGGCTCAGACAATCCTCTCACCTCGGTCCCCCAAAGTGCCAGGATTACAGGTTTGAGCCACCATGCCTGGCCAGGTTTGATTTCTTAAAAACAATAAATGAGCCGGGCTCGGTGGCTCAGCCTGTAATTCCACGCCTTGGGGAGGCTGAAGTGAGTGGATTGCCTGAGCCTGCGGGTTCGAGACCCGCCTGGGCAACTTGGCGAGACCTCATCTCTACAATAAATCAAAAATCAGCCGGGAGTGGTATCGCGCACCTGTAGTTCCAGCTACTCGGAAGGCTGAGGCGGAAGGATCGCCGGAGCCCAGCAGGTCGAGGCTGCGGTGGCCGGGAGCGGCCACTGCGCTCCAGTCTGGGCGACAGAGTGAGACTCCAACTCAAAAAACAAAACAAAACAAAACAAAAGACAATAAATGTTAGGTTGTGGACATACACAAAAAAGAAAAAAAAGCCAAACAGCCACCCTGTTTCCTGGCTGGGCATGGGCTGGAGGCAATTTCAGGTGAGCAGTGTAGTGTCTCTCCTAGCATCCTCCTGCCGGACCTGCTGATGCTTTTGTTTTCTCTTCCGGAATGCCTCCAGAGCAGTCCACAGGGGTCAAACGACAGTGTGCAAGTCGAGGTCCTTGGGGCTTGACGCTTTGCTGACTGCTACGCTGTACGTGTCCGGGAAAGACTCACTCAGCCACTCGGCTGCCTTTCCGCAGGGGGACGGGGCAGGTCTCCCTCTGCTCTTCAGGCCCCAGCGGGGACGCAGCCACGCATGCAGCTCCTGAGCTCCAGGGCTGCGGACAGAGCGCCCCACAGAACCTCATCCCACCGCAGGGAAGCTTGAAAGGAGACCCAAGCTGGCTCCAAGGCCTTGAGTGATCTGGTGTTGCTAAGGCAGTGAGCAGACAAGGCACAGAGAGCCATGCCGTACCAGACTCCACCCCTGACCGTCCGGTGCACTTGACTCCTAGACTCTCAGATGCGGGCTCCCCAGTTCACCAAAAATGGGACTAGTTTTTGACTTAAATATTTCCCCAAAACTAAGTAATACCAACACCACCTGAGATAACTAGTTCTGCTATTTTCCTTCTAGTTGTTAAAAACATTCGTATATACAGTATGTCATAGAAATACATACATGTACATTTCAAAACTTGTACCATACACATAGTTTTATATCTTTAAAAAAAAATTTTTTTTTTTGAGTTGGAGTCTCACTCTGTCGCCCAGACTGGAGTGCAGTGGCCGCTCCCAGCCACCGCAGCCTCGACCTGCTGGGCTCTGGTGATCCTTCTGCCTCAGCCTTCCAAGTAGCTGGAATTACAGGCATGCGCTACCACACCCGGCTGATTTTTTGATTTATTGTAGAGATGAGGTCTCGCCAAGTTGCCCAGGCAGGTCACGAACCTGTGGGCTCAGGCAATCCACCCACCTCAGCCTCCCAAAGGCGCGGGATTACAGGCTGAGCCACCAAGCCCGGCTTAAAACATTTTTAATTTATAATTTTAAAGATGTGGGGTACAATTCAGGATTAGATATACAAGTGGTCATCACACAGGTAAAGTCTGGGCCTCACTCTGGTCCCCACTTTGCCTGGTTTGAGATCAGGTACCCAGTATCTTTTTTCCCACTTAACATTATATTGTAGATATTATCTCTGATAAAATATTCTTTGAAAACTAATTTTTAGTGGCAGCATAATATCTCACCATGTGGGTGTGACCATCTTTATTAACTAGCTCAGGGCCTCTACCAGGGCTAGATACAGCAGCATAGGCTCAGGTAAGTGTTCACTCCCACGTCCTCCTCCCAACTGCAGGGAAGAGGCTGTGGGGCACCGCCAGGGGTCAGCAGAGAGCCCCTCAACCCTGGGGCTGTCACAGTGGTACCACCAGCGCTGTGGTTTGTAATCGCTGGCCAGGCAACAATCCATGCTAATAAGTTCTAAATGTTGGAGTAGCGGAGACCTCGTCAAACCAGTAGCCAAGTTCCCTCCGAGAGCAGCTCCCTTGGTAGACATTTCCCAAATTGGAAGTGATCAGATTCCTCAAATCAATTTATATTCAATATTCCAAAACAGAGCCATGAGCTATTTTATAAATCAAGGACCACAGATAGACCATGTGGCATCAGACCTGTTCTCATCTGCTCGGTGTAGAACCATCTGTGTGTAAAACACTTGGCCTCATGGTTTTATAGGTTTGTTGGCAAAATCAAATAAATAGCACTTAAAAATTATTAAGCAGCACATATACTTGCAGTTGCCTTTTTAAAGATGAGCGGTTCAGAAACGTGGATGGAAGAACAAAGGTGGATGAGTTTTCTCTGGGTGCTAAGGAATCCCGCTAGCACTGTAACTACAAGAGGCAGCGCCAGGGCCCGAGCTGCAGCGCGACCACAGATATTTCACTGACTTTCTTCCTGTGGACCTTGCTCTCCTGCCGTGGAAGTCATCGTGGAACCAGTCAGCTGTTTTCCCCAGAAGCTGAAGTTATCATATAGTCCATCTGGTTTTAGTTCGTATCTACCTGAGGCTCCTTCAGGAGAGTCACTCGGAGCTGAGAACTGGCTTAAGCAACTGACAAGGAGGTGGATACCAGGGATGTAAAAGCCACAGGGATGTACCAGGCCTGACATGCCGGGTGGGCTCTGGCACAGGGGCTGGCACTGCCGGCCTCTGGACTGGGAGTGACCATCAGGAGCCAAAGGTACCCAGGGTTATTTCCCCCCCACCAGCTCTGACTCCGCCCTTCACCCTTCCTTCATATCCTCACCTCCATTCTAGTGCCTGGTACCCCATCATTTGCCATCAGGGAGAAAGGGCCTGAGGGCTGGGGGCTGGAAACCGTGCAGCTTTCAGGACCAGCGGGGCGCAGCCTTCCTGAGAGCAGCTGGATCTGTGCACAGTCCACTCAGCACCCTTGGAACAAGGGGACCAGGCAGCGCAGGGTCTGGCAAGTCCTTGTCGGGCATTTGACTTAAGCTCTTGGCGGAGGAAGGGCACAGAAGGTCATGCGAAGAGAACAGATGCGCTCACGGCAGCTTCCACAGCCTGAGACAGCTCCAGCAGAGAGCAGTCCCGGGCTTCCCTGAGGTCCTGCATCTGGTCCGCAGCTGGCGTTACAGAACATTGGGTGCGTGAATGAATGACAGGGCTGGGCCACGACACCAGCACCAGACCAGAGGGCCTGGCCACAGCTACATTCCGATGGCCAATCAACAAAGCGAACAGCCATCCTGGGACTTGAAAGTCAGTTCAGAGGATCCCGGCGCTGGACACACTCAGGAGAGGACAGAAGCCACAGCCCTGCAGCCAGCAGGATCACCCGCGTGCTACTTGAGAGCAGTTTCCAGACACAGGGCCTCAGGCACCCGCCATCCCTCAAGGGCTGACCACCTGACGTCAGGCTAACCGGTGGGCACCCCTGCATTCGGGTGTTGGGAGACTCCTCCGGGGGCTCTGAGGCACCAGCCGAGCTGACAGCAAGGTCCATGCAGTGTGGGGCTCCCCGGCTTCAGGCCTCCTCAGCTCCACCTGCAGACGTTGCTGCACTTCCTACTCGATGTTGTCATAGACCTGGATCACGTCCTCGTGGCTGCTGAGCGCCTGGATGAGGTGGGCGGCCTGCTCCAGGTCAGGGTCAGCCAGCTGCACCCATGTGTTGGGGATGAACTCCAGCGCACAGGACACAGAGCATAGGCCCAGAGAGTCCAGCTTCTTCCTCACCTGATGCAGCGAAGAGGCATCGCAGATGAACTGGGGACAAAGAAAGTCAGGAGTTGAGGCCAGGAGGTGGAGACAGAGCCCTGAGTAACCGCTGGACCCATCGCAGGGCCTGTGCGCTTCACAGGCAGAGATGTGGCTTCCAGCACTCTGAACCCCGCAGTCCTGGGGGAGCAAGCCCGGCCCTGTGTCTGGGCTTAGCGTCTGGGCATGCGTGGCCTGTCTCAGCCGCACGCTGGCACAGGGAGGAAGGAATCAGAGAGGCTGCCTTGGGGCCCGAGAGCCCTCGTGGAGCCCACCCAACCCACACTTTGTGCTCACCTTAAAAGCTTTCTTCTCTTCCTCCTCCTCCGTTTCCATGACATCCTCGGCACCCACTTCGATGGCCAGCTCCAGGGCACGCTCCAGGCTCACTGCCTTTTCCTCTCTGTCCTCCACACCAACCACGATCACCCCTTTTTTGTTAAAGGAGTGACGGGCTCCCTCAGCCATCACCCCCCTGTTGGGGAAGGAGCAGCCGGGGTGAGCGAATGCCTCTGGACGTCAGCCCTTCCGGCCACAGAGTCTGACCTGTCTCTCTCCCGCCCGCCATGGGCGCAGGGGGCTCTCCTTCTGCAGTGGTGACACAGCTGCCTCCAGGCAAGGAACAGTCTGAGATTGCCCCCACCCTCTATTTTCTGCCCTGACTGGAGTTCAGAGAAGGCACAGGTGCTGTTCATCATTCCTGTACCTCCAAGACACCAGGACCTCGGCATTATACAGCATCAGAGTGGACAGTGGGACACAGATCCCCTTCTACAACTGATGAACCAGTCCTCTGGCACAGGACACACGCAGGGAAAATCAATGAGCCCACCGGTTTCTGCTGAGGAGGACATGTGCTTCAAACCTGAACCCCCACCAGGGAGCAACAGCAACCGCCTTGCGCAGAACGGGAGCCCCAGGCTCTGAGCCCCTCCGCTCTCCCCGGCACGCCTACCCATTCTTGCTCAGGATATGTCTGACATCCGACTGACACTTGGGGCCACTGTTGGACAACGCCTCAATGAGCAGAGAAGAGCCACCAGGGCCTCGACCCTCATACAGCAAGTACGTGCCCTTGGTTTTCTGCAGTAAACAACAAAGCACATTTTTCTGGTTCCCAGTTCCCTCCCACATGTCAGCCGGAACCAGACACCACAATCCAACCCCATCCCAAACCCGGCCCAATCCGTGGGTTCCGTGGGCTGGGCGCTCTAGGCTGGAAGCTGAGCACTCAGGCCTGTGTTTCGGCCCCACCCTCTGAGAGGAGACACCACCGTCTGCGGTCCCAGGAAGCTCTGCCCTGCTCAAGGGGCGTCTGTCTCCCTGGCCCCTGAATGACCTATCAGCCTCTCCCCAAGTGGCTGCCCCCACTCCCCAGCCCAGCCCCCCATCTGGCCCTGGCTGCTCCCACCAAGACTCACCCCTCACCCTCCATCCTACAAGAAACCCACCTGGGAAGCCTCAAAGCTCCTACCCTGGGCTGCTGGTTACTGTTGTGAAAAGCCACACACCTGGGCCCTGTCGTAAGCACTGCTGAAAACAGCATGGTCTCAAGTTCAGACAACCGATCCCAAACTCCAGTGAGTCATCTCCTCTGGCCCCTCTTTGTCCATGGACTGCATTTCACCACTCAAGGTCCTTCCTGCACCTGCCCGGGAGCTCGCGACTAGTGGCTTCTCCGTTCCTTTTTCACAAAGGAAACCAAGGCCACTAGGTGGGGGAGCACTCCTGTCTCCATTGCCTCTGACTGCGGCCTACGTGAAAGCAGGTGACAGTGCGCAGGCTCTGGAGTCTGACTGCCGGGTTTCAAGTCTGTCATCTTCTGTGTGACCTGAGTGAAGTCACCACACCATTCTGTGCCTCAGTTTCCACTGAAAATTGCTTTGAGAATTCAGTAAGATAATGCACATAGAATTTTTATCAAAGTGCTTGGCCAGCAATGAGCACTCAATAACTACTAGCTATGAGTTATAGCTGTAGCTAGTAAGACAGTTTTTTTTTTTTTTGAGTTGGAGTCTCACTCTATCGCCCAGACTGGAGTGCAGTGGCCGCTCCCGGTCCCCGCAGCCTCGACCTGCTGGGCTCCGGTGATCCTTCTGCCTCAGCCTTCCGAGTAGCTGGAACTACAGGCGCATGCTACCACGCCCGGCTAATTTTTTTTGATTTATTGTAGAGATGAGGTCTCGCCTGCCCAGGTGGGTCTCGAACCTGTGGGCTCAGGCAATCCACTCACCTCAGCCTCCCCAAGGCGCGGGATTACAGGCTGAGCCACCGAGCCCGGCTGTAAGACAGTTTTTTCTCCCTCAGATCCTTCCTACTTGTTCCAGAGGAAAGGTGTCCTTTCACCTGGGTTCTCCATCCCCGCCCCCGACCCTCTCCCTGTCTTCTGGCTTTTCTCCTTTAGGGCATAATCACCTGAAAAAGAAAAACCCTTCCTCAGCCTAACAACAGGGTTTTTCCCACACTGCCCTTCCTTTCACAACTTGGCTGGGCAGTCGTTCTGAACTCTATCCATCCTGTCCCCAACTGTGTTCCTGTAAACAATGGACAAGGACAGAGAGCCCCCAGAAGGCTCTGGGTAGAGGGTGTTAACCACATCACCTCCATGTCCTTCCAGACACGGCCCCCACGGGAGTTGTGATCAATAGAAAGCCTGTCAAGCAGGACACACCTCCGTCTTCAGCGCCGCCTCCATGGTTGACTTGGGCATGTGCTTGCTGCGACACACCTCCAAGACACTGGCCAGGCTGCTGTTGAGCTCAGGGTCAGGACCTCCCTCTGAGACAAAGGAAAAAAAAAAGAGTGAGCAAAGACATCTCATTACAGCATGGGTTCTAGAATAAAGGGGCTTCCTGCCTTCCCAAGCTAAAACAGTGGCAAGTCACCACTTGGCTCTGAGTTAGTTTAGAAAACTATATCCAGTGTTCAAATGAGACAAGGAGAAGTATTTTGGAAAAGAAGTTTCTCTGTCCTCAGGGGTGGTTACCATTTGCTAGGTCTCAGCGGACTCTACTTTGTGTCAGATAAAGAGGTGAGAGACACAGGTGGTAACGACATCTCCTGAATTTCCTACCACCACCTGCTCTTACTCTATGACTTTGTACATAATTATCAAAATGCTCACATGACACTAATCACCCTCACTGTTTCTGAGGGTAGGGACTGGATTTCATCATCTTTGCTTGGCACAAAATAAACACTCGGTTAGTTGGCTGAACTTAGGATCAGGAATCTAGAAGAAAAGGACGCTCATAGCTGGCATGAACTGGAGGAGTAAATTAACACTAATCAAAGGCCTACTATGTGCCATAAACTACCTCAGGGTGGGCATGGTCCCTTTTTCACAGAAAAAGAAACTGGGCTCAGGCGATCCTTCCACCTCAGCCTTCCAAGTAGCTGGAACTACAGGTGTGTGCCACCACGCCCAGCTGATTGTTTTGCCAAGTTGCCCAGGCTGGTCTTGAACTCCTAGACTCAGGCAATCCTCTTGCCTTGGCCTCCCAAAGTACTGAATGACAGGTGTAAGCCACCATGCCTGGCAAGAAACTGAAACTGAACAAAGTTAAGCTGCTTGCCCAAGGTCATAAGTTAGTGACAGCAATCAAGTTTCCCTGACTCCAGAGGTCATGCTTTTTACAGGACTTTCTCTCTACTCCTGCAGGGGTCTGGCACCAAGCAGAAAAAAGGCTGTTTAAGGGTGGCTATCCACTTGAGACAAGACACAATGGGAAACCCACCCTCCGAGGAAAAGTGTGTGTGGCAAACGGGGGCCCAGGCGCACCATGGTTACTCAATGCCCCTGCCACGACCTACATGCCACCAGGGCGACTTCCGAGGGGTTGGTCTGCCTCTCTAGCAAAGAAACGATCCCACCTGTTCCTGCTAAGTGCGCAGCCACAGACGAGGTGGAAGCCACCCGCGGTCTTAGCTTCTCGGACAAGCTCGGGCCTGGAAAGGCGGGTGGGGACGTGCGCGGGAGGAGCGTGTCTGCAGGGCTGACGAGCGGGATCCGGGCGAGCCCTGGGCGGCGCCGGGAGCGCAGCGGTGGCCGGGGGCGCGGGGGGAGCGACCGCAAGCCTCCCACCTTTCACCGCCAGGCGTATGCTCAGACAGAGCTTGGAGAAGATGCGGCTCCTCTCGGCGTCCTTGGGCCCCTTGACGTGCCTGACCTTGGACCATTTGTTGTGCCCGGCGGG